ATGGGCTGCATAATAACACTGTCGGGGCACAACAACTTCAAGAATAACTGTTTCAGGTACATCAGGTGTTTTAGAATATCAGAGTGAGTGAGTGAGTTTGATTTTACGCCCTTTTAGCAATATTCCAGCAATATCACGGCGGGGGACACCAGAAATGGGCTCCACACACTGTACCCATGTCGGGAATCGAACCCGGGTGTTCGGCGTGACGAGCGAACGCTTTAACCACAAGGCTACCCGACCGCCCCTATAATATCATAAACGTATACGTGATTAACGCATAAGTTCATACGTTTGTACGTAGTATTATAACTCTCTCGTCTTGCCCTTATCTCGTCTTAAGACCCATGAAGATCCGGGGTAGAATAGATCTTCAGCAACCCATGCTTGCCGTAAAAGGCGACTTAGCTTGTTGTAAGAGGCGACTAACGGGATCTGTTGGTCAGGCTCGCTGACTTGGTTAATTAATGTCATCGTCTTCTAATTGCGTCGATCGATGCTCATGATATCAATCACTGTATTGTCTGGTCCAGACTCGATTATTTGCAGACCGCCGTCATACAACTGGAATATTGCTGAGTGCAGCGTTAATCAACAACAACAAAAATCTCGTCTTAAATTGTATTAAGGATTTACTGCAGTAATTCCTTCGTTCCATGACAGCTTCTTTAAGTAAGATCAGAATCAGAGACACCTAGTATGTCACTCCTAATAAGAAGAATGGAATATGAGCATTGTGAGTTTATGTCATGCTGTGCCAGTTCGACGTCCGTATTTCATTCCTGTAAGCAGGCTGGAGTTGTCTTCGTCTCTGCAGATATCATTTCATACTTAAAGTATAAGAGGGGATGTTATGTGATATGAGGTTTAACGTCGCATTCAGGATAATTGTAGTTACATAGCCATGTGCATGTGCGTGCGTGCGTGCGTGCGAAGACCTATTCTACCCCGGATCTTCACGGGTCTGTGAATGTGTAATGTTATGCAGGTAGTATATACGGAATCATTAATATACTTCAAACACTGAAACCGTTGTATCATTCACAGAGACTCTATAGCCATGTGCCTCGTGGACGCGCTCACTACCATCTTCGTAGGGTTCACTGTCTTCGCTGTCATTGGTCATGTGGCACATATACGTGGACTTTCAGTGGAAGCTTTCCAGTCATCAGGTGACTATGTCATTTACGCAAATGACACTGGACGACAACATCACATTTACCAAAGTTGCAAGGTCGTAAATGTATGCATACACTATGTTGATGTATGTTTATTAAGACATATATGTATGTAAGTGTCATTTTTACATCAATGTCTTCAAATGTCATCTTTATGACATGTCAACCATTACTTAGCGTTGAGTCATAAACACCTGCTTATGATACGGTCGGAATCGTACAATGGACTCTTTTGATGGTGGAAAAGTATTTTTCGCTTTTATTTACAAGCATTTACAAGTAATAAATAGGCACATATTTCGTCCAGTGTGATTGTTACTGTAGCCAATTGTTTCCGGGGATACATGGAACTAATATTGATGCATTGTACCAATGTTTTACTGTAAACAAACACGTTATTTCAACTAATGAGGAAATACTTTTGAACAGATCAAAATATGTTCATAGTTTAAATATGTTAACTACACATGCATCTGGACAGCGGTGATGGCAAAAGAGTACAGCTCTGTAAGTCTATTATATTGACTCTCAGAGAAGTTGAAATATTAATGCGAATGGCTTTGTTTCAGGTTACAACTTAGCTTTTATCGTCTACCCTGAGGCCGTGGCTGCTCTCCCATTTCCACAGTTGTGGTCGGGACTGACCTTTCTTATGCTGATGTCATTGTTAATCGATACTCTGGTAACAGCACAAGTCTCTTCTTGGAACTGAGTATCATCATTGAAATAAGTCTAGAGTGTTCATCTCATTACCTGATCTGTTTGTATACTTTTCTTAATGTATACACAGTTATTCAATTTATTCCGCACAGGGCGCAGGCTGAACATTGCTCTAGACGTATGTTAAAGTGTGAGAATTAAGACCACCTTTGCACTAAGATCTCTTTGTGGAACAGGACCCTGGACGATGTCAAGTCAAAACATGCACCAATGCGGTTATTATTTGCAGTATCATATTCATGACTACAATTAGTGAAAGGATTAGAATGTCGCCGTCAGAAACAATCTTCCAAGTGAAGATTAGATGATAGAACATGGATAGTGAAACCCCATCTCTATAATATCATAGGAATAAATTCCAGGATTCATACTTAGCATGTTAATAATTCCTCAACATTTTCGTTTGCGATTTATCTGGATTAAGTAAATAGTTTGGAAGCTGAAACATTAATGGCATTTTCCTGCAACCTCATCACATGCTATCACTCACTCCATCATCAAAGGCCCAAGTGAGTTTTTGCCGTTGACTGTTGTCCGTCCGATCCGACTGAAGGAATAAAACTGAAGCTTAATTGTCTGCGGCTTGGAAGTCTCCGTGACGTCATTGAGAAACACGGCGCTTATTCTATCTCACCTAGTTACAATAGGTGTCTTAGCTCTGTACGATCTGCGTCAGGTTTACGAAAGTTTCAAATGTATCTTATCTTAAACCTAAAATATCTCATCTTCTCGAGGAAAGGGAGTTAGCTGATTTTACAAGTCCAGTTTCCCACCAGTGGCTATAACGAGTTATGCATCATCTGCTATGTCCCTCCAGTTGACCAATAAGATTCCACCTCTCATTTCACTTGCATTTGCTTCAAACAAACTGGCGACCCCAAGTGAAGACGATCTGATTGGTAATCGAGATGTCTTACTTCACGAAGTGCACCACACCTCGTGAGAACCTTGATTAAGAACATCAAAGGATTTGGTAAATATATGTTGACGCTCAATTGACGGTACATATGCTTTGCAAATCCTTCAATCGACCGAAATCTGAATGACAGCTTACGAACCGGGTGTCGATTTCGGGAAGGGTGGAACTGGACTTTTATAGTCAGTTGACTTGCTTGCCTCAGGAAGATGAACTTATCATTTCTTTGAACGGGAGTTGTTGATAGTAATCGTAGCTAAGATCGTTTCGAAGATCTACACCCTAGTTTACTTCCCTTACACACGACCCATACCTGCCTGAATCCGAGCAAGAAGGCTCCATGTTGGCTATATTTTACGTCAACGTTATTGGCATCAGGTGTTGATAACATCATCAGTGCCTTCCCAAACGTTGGCGTAGCGTTGAGTTTGGTGACGAATCCCGTTTCCTTCATCGAAGCAGACATGGGCGAATTCGGAATTCAGAATGGATATCAGTCGATGGTGGAAAGGGCATGATTAGGGGAGCAATATCTCAAGGGCGAAGAAGGGATGTTGTTCGTATCTCAACTAACAAGTGTGCGTTGTCGTGACGAGATCCTACTTCCTCACGTTGTCCCGTTTCTGCAAGCACGTCCCCACACATCACGGGTCTGTACTGACGTCCTGAGAACGTACCCATAATGTCGTTGCCTTAAAGATCACCGGATCTCAGTCAATTTAGCATATGTGGGATAAGTTAGACAGACGAAAAACTTCATCGTCGATGTCAACCAGGGCCACAGAATATGTAGCACTTTAGTCTTCAGTTCTTCAGGAAGAATAGACTAGCCTACCAGAAGGTGTCACCCGCAGGCTTCTTTGTTCCATGGGTAGAATGTGTCATGCAATCATTCTACAGCCTACGTGCTTGAGATAGTGACGTAACCAGCACATGCAAAAACTTCTCCTTTAACATTTCATGAACTATATTTCACTTTTTAATCTTTCCAACACACACATGTACAATTTATCGCTTTTAAATCTTTGTGACCGCTTCCGCCCGGAATGTGGCAGGCCGCGGGCCGCGTCATACCAATGATACTTGCTGCTCTACATTAAGGACTGGTTGGCCCGGAGTCAGTATACTGTGTCTGAGTGGGTATCCAAGTTCAAAACTGCAGTCTGATATGGTCGGAATTGTTCAATCGCATCAGCTTACAGCAGATACTTCTTATGATTATGGAAAGGTTTTTCTCGCTTTTATTTTTCTCATTGGGACAAGGTTTGATTTATGCAAGACATTGTCTATGTACATGTTCGCAGGTAACCATTTAAGCCTTGTTAAATGTGACTATATCATTTGTTATCCAGCTACCAAGCTTCGAAATCGTTGTGACGGCATTGATGGATCAGGTTCAAGGATTGGCAAAGCACAGATTTCTGACTGTTAGTTTGGTCATACTGGCTTCAACGTTGATTGCCCTTCTATATATGACTCGGGTAGGGTTTTATAGCAATAAACATTGATTGGTGTTACAAGATTGGTTCCATGTTAAATCAAAGAATTCACAATTATGTATTCATATCAACTACAGAACAGCGTTCTTTACATGACATACACTTACGCCTGCACGATGCCTGTCAAGATGCCAAACAAAGTAATACACAGGATAAAAGTACCCTTCTGTATGATGAATTGAAGTTTCCTCAAGATTTGTATCTAACACGAAAACGGCATTTTTTAGATGCATTCTGACTATCGTGTTTTTCTATCTATGTATTCTTGAAAAACTCGACGTATTGTCGGACACGTTCTAAGCACTCACACATTCATCAATTGTTTTTTTGGATGAAGCGTCTTTTTTCGCCCAATGACAATAAATGGAAAAACGACAGTTTCATGCTTGAAGTGTAAGGCCGAAGCGAGGCATGTGTTTAATTCAAATAATCTGTGCAACAAGTGTCGTGGCTTGTCTATAATTGTATTAGTGTTCCAAGACCTTTTAAAACACTTAAGTCGAATTTGATCGTGAGAATGTCACAATATCATTCATCCTGCTATCAAATACGTCAGAAAACAAATTTGATGTTAGGGGTTGTGTTTACAATGGCAAAAATAATCACAAGAGTCAGTGAATTAGGATAATGTGACCAAATAGTATCTTTTGTTTTATTTTCAGGGAGGAATATACGTCCTAACCTTGGTGGACTGGTACGCAACATTCCCCTCACTGGCTTTGTTCGCAACAATGGAATGCATCGCCGTGAACTTCTGTTATGGTAACTGCTTGGTTTCCTTTCGTATTTGATAACGCGGGGGTTCCTTTCGTATTCGATAACGCGGGGGTTACTTTCGTATTCGATAAAGGGGGTTCCTTTCGTATACGATAACGCGGGGGTTTCCTTTCGTATTCGATAACGCGGTACCGTAAAAGGTGACTATGCTTGTCGTAAAAGGCGACAAACGGGATCGGGTGGTCAGGCTCGCTGACTTGGTTGATGCATGTCATCGATCCCAATTGCTTGGATCGATGCTCATGATATTAATCACTGGATTGTCTGGTCCAGACCCGATTATTTACAGACCACCGTCATATAGATGGAATATTGATGAGTGCGGCGTTAAACAACAAACCAACCAACAACAACAACTTGAATAAAAGGGATTTTTTGTGTGGATTAATTAATTAGTTCTTAGCCATCAACTCGCGTATGTCATATACATAATGACATATTTATCCATGCAGGAACAAGACAACTACAAGAGGATATACAGACAATGTGGGGCAAGACCGCTCCCCGATGTATGAGGATATGTATGCGCTTCGTGTCTCCTGTGCTTCTATTGGTATGTGTCCTGCACTCTGACAATGTCACTTATGTTTATCATTACAAATACTCCTGTTAAGGTCACTAGGTCACAGAGAGTGGGATTGCTCTAAGGCTACATATATATGTAAGTTCATGTGCACCTAGTCTAAAGGAAGCTCTGAGTTCAACATAAAATAGCTATCTACATTTCCGATTTGGAAGGGGTGTCCCTACCGTCTAAGGCGCCGCAGTTCTTGAGTCCCCTATGCATACGAGCTACAATCGTGGATTGGAAGCCATGTTCTCAGTTTGTCACAATCATATCCGTGATCATATCCCTGATCATATCCGTGCTCGTGGGTTGCACCAAAATGCTAAACACTTCCATAACTTCAGGGTTTCTGCCACATCAAGCTGACGGTGATATAACTTGCACACTGTTCACAGCGGATTTAAATCAAACTCGTGAACTCAAGATCACTGAGTCCCATTTCGATTTAACCAGAATATATAAAAAAAAATTATGCGTGAAAGTGCTTTCACGACAACTGATAACACCCACGAAGATGTCTATATGTTTCACTACTCCCTGGAAGGTCGGTGTTTTAATCCCCGTCGGCGTAATACCAAACAAATTTAAAGATGGTTCTTGTTCTTTCCCACCTGCAGCTGGCGCTGGGATTTAAGGGGATCAAACAAGAATTGGTGGGGGCGGAGTCAGTATACTGTGCTTGAGTGGGGTATCCTTGTTAAACTACGCCATGATAGCAGGTGTCAACGACAATCAGTTGCACATGGAATGAGGTCCATCCGGAACAAATGTCGCCAGTGTAAATGTATCTGACAGAATGAAATTGAGTACATGCATGTGAAACAAATTTTCAGTGATTCGGAGAAAATATTTGCATATTTAAGGGAGAGGTGATTGCATTTAGGATTTGGGTTAGGGAACAATTGGACCTAAAAAACCTAGAGAATGCCGCGAAATAAAATCCCTGGTCATGAAAGATTTTCCTCGAAAAAAACTGTTACAGAGACAATAATACAATGGAACATTTTTCACTACAGGAATAGCTATTCTTTGACACATGCACGTCGTTGTAGAAGTCCAATATTGTTTCGAAAACAGGCCATTACAGAAGAGCCACAAGAAATGGGTATCATATTGTGTATTTTCCTTAGTAGTGATTTTTAGATCCAACAGAAAGATTCATACAATTGAATACCAATTTGTTTTGATTCAGGTTATTTTCACCTTCTCCCTCTACTCCTACCGACCTCCTCAGTACGCCGGCTACATCTTCCCTACCTGGGCCACTGCTGTCGGCTGGATGATATCCATGGCCTCAATACTTCCCTTCCCTGTTTTCTTTGTTTGGACAGTGTTTCACACACACGGAGCCACGCTGAAAGAGGTCAGAGCCCGACCATTTAATATTTTGGTGGTGGGGGAGGGCGATGGGACGCGCCATGGTGAATTCTTGTCTCATTCGCGAACGCCTGGAGTATTCACTGATTTTAAAACAAACTTTTTTATGCAAATTGACGAGTGGTGGGTGTTTCGAGTAGGGCAGGATATGCTTACCCTTTTCGCGAACAACTGGTATCATCCCTCATTTTCAGTGATTCTTTCATATAATTTTCACTGCAATTTTACCTTTAATGCCCTATGAAATCTGTTTCGTTGGATAATCGAGACTTGGTATGCTCTGGTGTGACGTTTTATATCTAACAAGGATCCCACATCACGCGAATATTAAATAGTTAATCGATGGTCGACTGGTTGTCTTCACATAGCTGTGTTTAACATCAGTGTGGCAACTTTTATTCATTATTAATATGTTCAGGAAATGCCAAGCACGTTTTGGTGTATATATTATGCAGCACTGGTGCATGTAAATACATACCGTCGAACCAGTGAATAACCAGTGTCGAACATCCGCCACAGATTCCATTGGGCGTACAAGGCAAATTGACGGGGAAGATTATATGAATTTGTAAATGGAAGATTAAACATAACCTTCTGAGGTTTTATCTTCATTTGAGTGTCTGAGTAAAACATATTGAGACAGAGTAAGTGATGTGACGGTGAAATATTGCTCTTTCGTCTAAACCTTGTTATTAGCTTTCACCCTTCAAATGTGGTGTGAGGGTGGCATTTTAAAATAATATCGTAATCATATACTCCTTCCTTCTCAATATCCGGTTGTTTGAACCTGCTGGTGACAGAGCTCTGGAACTGACTCTACATTTATAATAAGTTGTATCTTTTTTTCAGAAACTGAAACAGGCGATCAAACCAAACAAGAAATGGGGTTGCCAAACAAAAACAGACTGCGAGAGTGATGACATCAGCTTTCAAGCTATGATAGAGGACAGTCTGTGATGCAATACAGACCTGGCGGTAGAGAAGGCTTTCAGTATAGGAATTGATATTACATAAAGTGAATATATTACTTTTCTATCCTGGACATATTCACCACCATAGCCTCGTTTTCAGTCCAGTTCAAATGACACGGCGCTAAAAATAACCATCCAAATTTCATGAAACAAACGCACAATCACCAGTATTTGACTCGCCTTCTTGCGTGTCATCACATGTACAACATGATCTTTCTTACGAATAAGGACTTCCCTCGCCCTGGCTTAATAACCAGGAAACAGTGCTCTGATTTGATTAGATATATGGACGGCTCGTTAGTACGATCCTACAATTTTGAAAGTAGATCTGTGCCGAATTCAAAAGAGGCATTATAGTTGTTGGTTTCAACTTCGTGAATGAAAAACAATCAGTGCTTGGTTAGTGATAAGAGGGATTGAGATTGTCAAGCACCACTTCCGAGACGAATCTATGGTGAAGGATGTTAAATGTTAAAGGCAATGAGCGAAAGGTTTTGACATTTGAAACGGGGCACGTTTGGTAACCTATGATGGTGGGTTCGAATCCCGGTTCTCCCCAATTATGTTTCTAGGTCTGTCAGCACAATACATGTGCTCGTTCGTTCCACCACATCACCTCTGGCTTCCTCCACAAGAAAAAGTATAGCATACGTTATCTCATGCAGTTTACAAACATGTTGAGACAATTCTTATATAATTGCAGATCACCCATGTCATACTGTGCCAATTTCGAAATATTCTGAGAAAATTTAAAGTTTCAAATGCGAGCAATCATTGTGTTTATTAACACTGGTAATCTATATTATACATGTTTGGTTCAGTATGGCTCCTGTTATGTAATAGGGGGCACGGGTGGCCCAGTCGTCTAAGGCGCCGCGATTCGCTGTGCAGAGTTGCGTCCCTTGGGCACGCAAGGACCCTATGATTGTGGGTTCGAATCCCGGTTCGTTCCGATTATGTTTCTAGGTTTGTCATCACCATACCCGTGCTCGTGGGTTTCACCGAAGTGGTAAACGTCTGAGACCTGCATCACTTCGGGCTTTCCTCCCACATTAAGCTGACACGCCGTGATATAACTGGAATACTGTTAAAAGGGGCAATAAACTCAACTCACTCACTCGCTCACTCACTGTTATGTAATAATGATTGGAACTAGGATGCCAAAGAGAACTATCCCCAAGTTACATCATTTGTATAAACTAACACACCTGCTTAAGCAACAATTAATACAATAAACCATACCATTAGAATAAACAGATCTACTGGTAATCCAGGATACTTTGAACCAACAGCAAAACACGTTAGAGACAAGAGGGCGGTGCATGTTAAATGGTATATGCACGTGCAGGTCATTCTGATGAAGATGACTACGCTCCCGTGGAAACAAGTGTTTCTCGTGATACTATAAATAGGTCGGTGTGATAAGTCGATACCAGAAATCATACCAGACTAGATACCAGACACACGCATATCCATCGCACAACTTTTCGAGAACCACCCTCTACCACTTTCTTCACAATGGTACGTGTCAGTGGGCGGACCTCATACAGAGTCATACATGATTAATTGTTAGGTTACAACTCCACTTATCCTGACCAGATCACAGTTTTGGTTTGAATGCCATGTTGAACCATACCTAAGAATGTCTGGTTGGTTCATGCTGGGAAAGATATTTTTTTGAGTGGATGGTTCTCTTTGACTTCACTAATTTGTCACTTCAGGGCTATGTAGGTTGACGTTTGTGGCAGGTATATCACTATTTGCGTCATACTGAAGCATATTACTTGGTTGCTATAAGGAAAGACACATTTGTATACACTCTGTCAAGAGCACTTTTCTTTTCTTTTAAGTTGGTTGTACTGTATATAAGCTGTGAGTTCTAAAGTTGTTATGTGCGATTGCTACTTGGGCCAGGAGTGAACGTATTTTACTGTATGAGCTGTTTGACTTAGTATGTATTAAAGACTGTCAACTATATATACATTGTCAATGCAAGAAAATAACCAGTCTTGATTATCGGCCAAAACAGATTCGAATACGCAAAAATTTGGCGTGAAGGTTAAAAAAACTGTGAAAATTATATGAAAATTTGTGATGACACCAGGTGTTCTAAAATCAGCCGCCATTCACACAATATGCATAAAATAGTTATTATTTATTGCTTCACGCTCCACAGCAGTATTCCTACCATGCGACAGGGGCCTGTAAACAAACCAGACAGTCATGTGATCGATTAACCAGAAAATCCAGTGACACGATAGTGCATTTGCTGATTTAGTTGCAAATGATGAAAACGACATGTTAATTTTGAACTATGTACCAGGGCACAATTCAGGGCAGTCAATGAGAATTCGGACCTTGTTTGGGCGGTTTTGGTTTTGTGTGATTTTCCTTGCAAATGACGTTATTACAGTCATCAATATCTCACACAGACAAAGTCTTCATTTGGCTGTGTTTCGGCAGTCGTCGTCGCATTTAAAGCTACCACCGTCATATCATATGTAAATTTACTTTTGATATTGTTTATTCTAAGTTGGTCTACTTGGTCGAGTGTAACACGTGCGAGATGTGTGCTGAATAACCATGTGTAGTTATTCTGAGCATGCCCCAACGCTAATCTGTATGTTGGATAACTATAAGTGTACTGAATGTCGACCAACATATTACCGATTGTTGTACAGTGTGCCACAACCCAGAGGGCCACCTGTACGGTGAGGTGAAATTGGGTTTAATGTCGCGTCCAAGATTATTGCACTTATATAGCGACGTGCATGCACGTGTATGTGTGTGTGTGGCTGCTTGTACTAGTCCGGGCTGATGCCGATTTATAGTGCTAGCTCATTGAGATACCATGCCGCAGTTTAACATGAATACCCCACTCAGACACAGTATACTGACTCCGAGCCGACCAGTCCTTGTTTTAGCCCCTTAATGCCGAGCGCCAGACAGGGTAACAACAAGTACAATCTTTTAACGTCTTTTTGTATGACGCGGCCCGGGATCGAACCCTGGACCTTCCGCTCTCCGGGCGGACGCTCTACCACTAGACCACGGAGGCGGTCTCCACCTGTACGGAGTGGGAGTCAGTGACACTGATGTTATGATGCCTGACTCCAGGACGACAGATGGCCAAGTACATTAAGGGGGTACATCTGGATTTGATATCAAAAGATCTGTGTAAGGCCCACCTGAACAATGAACATGCGTCATACTATGCGTTTAATGTATTGAAGTATTGATGTGTTTATATATTAATGTTGATGCATTGATGTATTAACGTAGTAGGTTTTTCGTAGGTTGAGTATTAGTATAGTATTGATGTATTATTTGTTTGTTATTGGATCAAGTTTTAAGTGACTTTTAAAGATTCTCTGACCACTCAACTGTATCGAACTTTCTTGGTTAAATTGGTGAAGGGTGCTGAGAAACAGCTGAGAAATTAGGGATAAAACGGCGATGATAATGCTCAGTTAGTGTATTAAAGCTCTTTTTGTGCTTTGTATAATTTTGTTCTGTCTTGAGAAATCTTAACATCACTGACAGTATGGCAAAATAATTGCAGCCTATGTAACACACTTACCCCTTTGGAAGGTTGTGCTGTGGAATTGTACTGTTGTAAATGACTGAAAACGGCTCTTAAGCTATTCGTGTGTTCAGACCATTCCTCCGTCCGATCTAGAATATCGCCAATGAAGCTATCTACATGAGCTGTTCCTCTGAGCACCTTCCTCATTACAGTTTCGTCCCGAGTATGTTTCTAGGTTTGTCAGCACCATATCCGTGCTCGTGGGTTTCACCGAAGTGGTGAACGTCTGAAACCTGCATCCCTTCGGGCCTTCCTCCCACATTAAGCTGACACGCCGTGATATAACTGGAATAATGTTAAAAGCGGGGTTAAACCCCTATCACTCACTCACTGACTCACTCACTCACCTCATTTACCTTGTCAACCTTGGGGCTTTCACTCTAAATGGCATTACAGTCCATTGATACAACCCATGACCAAAGTGGTACGTGTTCCATGGGAATCTGCCAATAAGCATTGCTTATGTCAATTAGAACTTACATTTGCTTAATGAATAAGGTTTCTTTCAAAGTAACTGGTTCTGTTTTAAAAACTGTGATCCGGTTAATACGACGGAAGTCCACACAAAACTGATAGGTAGAGTCAGTTACTGACACAGTTGGGGAAGCATAGGGGAATTCAGATGGTCCAACATTGACCGTACCTCTAATGCAACCACCACTATCATATGGTGAGGTAACGGGCTAGGACGAAACCTAACTGGATCAGAACTGTTTCTTCTGAACAGTACCATTAATCCTGCCTGGTAAATCAGTAATTACTGTGATCCGGTTAAAACGACGGAAGTCCACACAAAACTGATAGGTAGAGTCAGTTGTTTTTTTCACTGACACAGTTTCAGGGACAGAACTGTTTCTTCTGAACCGCACCATTAATCCTGCCCGGTAAATCAGTAATTATATAAGTACATCTGAATACTCCTCCAACAATGCTCTTTCCTCAGTATGTTCGTACACAAGTCAAGAGGAGATATCAGCATCTAATTACTTCTCCCCAACTACTAAACTGGGTGAAGAAATCTCAGGCATATCAAACTGTTTGACCTGTACTTTAGCCTCATGCACATCGATCATACCTGTACATACATACTGAGGAAGACTAACACTTGCATCACAGATAACAGTACTACCTACTGTCCCTCTCCACATACTCCTTCAGCGGATTGGCATGATAACTTATCCCCAACTCTGACACGATAATTGCCTTCACCAAACTTCTCTATGACAAATGGACCTTTCCACTGCAATAGCAACTTCTCTGATTGGTAGGCAAGAACACTTACACATATCTACATCATAGTACCTGCCTGATGCCTACTTTAGTGATTGGTGTGCTTCCTCTATCCTTCAACCTATTCTGTACATCAAGCACATACTGATAAGTATTCTTTATCTCTTCATTTGGGATATATTTTGGTCATAATTCAATTAAAATCTGAACTGGACCTCACACCATATAATCCAAAACGTTCCTGAGGGATAGGCAAATAACAGTGCTGGTAGGTAACGATTCCAGTCTGGGCTCATCGTTGAATATTCCACATGTTTCTATTACGCTGGACATCCATCCATGCTATGCGCTGGACATATGGAATACCTTAGTTATATACTTTTTGTGAAGTTGTCTGCCGGAAAATTAATTTTTTTCCTTACACATGCAAAACTCCAAACGTAGATTCTCACTACTTAACGCACAGAGGCGGTTCACCACCCCTTGTATTTACGACTTATAAAGTAGTTCCTATTTTGCAAAACCTTAAAAATATAAACAAAAGAAACAATCTATGCTCAACAACAAAAGTTCCTGTGACATCAATATTTTAGTATATTTTTCAAACAAGTAAAGTTTGGTTTTCAATATTGTAGTACTTGTATGGAATCAAGTCACAAAAACGCAACTGCTACAGAAAAGAATGCATTCCATGCAAAAGTTGACTTTTATGCAAGCCCCATGCATTTCACTACCCAAGAATGGGTATAAAAACATGTGCGTTAAAGGGATTCCATATGCATTGTTTAGCACTGTGCTGACAACAACCACTCAGAAAA